TGCCCACCACTTCAACGTCCACCAGATCATCAACGGATTCGCCACAGGAATCTTCGTGAAATGGTAAGTGGTGTTGGTCTTTTATATATTATCCTTATTAATGATTTTTAACATTGCATTTTATATTTAGTTACTATATAGAGAAAAAATACAAGAAAAAAACGCAATTTTGCAAAGTCTCAAATATATTGTTGATAACAATTTTTTTGGAGTTGTTACAAATGATTCTTTAAAAAATGCGAAAGGTCCTCTAATCGAAGTAATTGATCAGGATGTATCAAAAAAAAAATAGGATTTTGTAATTTTGTGCTAGGCACATTAAAAATTCATTGATTTAACTTTGGCCAATTAGAATGCAGAAACGAAAATTTGACAAATGGGAGCGCAAATCGAAATATTATCGATATGTGTTCCTATAATCACATAACTTAGACAATCATAACACAAACATAACGACAATATAATTTTTTAAAACTTTTTTTACTTTATTAATAAAAAAACTAACCGCATAACAAACGTTTTTAAAATGTCGTGTAACGAAATTTTTTGACGGTTAGAAATACTTAAGAGGTTAAGGGGGATAAAAATTAGCAAATTTAATTGTCGGAAGTTAATATAGTTTATCTGTAGGGGTAGAATGCAGCTAGCTTACAATGAAAATTTTTTTTATGCCAAGTAAACCTTTCTTGAGTTTCTAACAAATATTATAGAGCAAGCTATTCCGGTTCTAATAGTGGTAGAATTATTAAAATTAGTCCAGTAGATCACGAGTTATTGGCATTTGCACATTCATGACTATTTGATATTTATATATTGTCAAAAACTTTTAGCATTCCAACATTATATGAAAGCAATAATATTTCGCCGTCGATTTTTACTATGAAATTTATACCCGTCAATTGCGATCTACTACTTAATTATTTTCAAAGTCTAATTTTGTTATTGTATAATGAATATTTTGCAAACATTAATATCAATTAAAATAAGAAATAATCATCAACAACTCTTCTCAATGATCATCTAGTCAACAAAAATCAAAAAACTGAACTATAGTCAGTGTTATAGAAGATACTAAAGCAAATAATTAACTTGGTTCTATGAAAGTAGATGTATTGTTGACAAAGTATCAAGAGTATAAAACCAAGATGTGGTTTACTTTAAACTGGTTTTGGTAGAGGTCAAGCTTCTTGCTAATGAACTTCTTTACTTTTATTCGGCATTTAAACCAGAAGGATATTTTGGGAACACAGAGTATCCAAGATGATACCAGGAGTATTATAAGCTTTGGATATTTCTATACAACTGTAAAACTTACAAGAAACAACTACAAAAAAGTTTTGTTGACCTA